GGGGGGGGGGGGGGGAAGGTGGGGCTGGTGGGGAAGGCAGCGGGAGGCGGGCTTTCTGCCGCCCAGCACCCCAAGGCCTTGTCTCCCGGGTGAAAAGGCCAAAGCAAAGCGGACCGAACCCGCAGAGGGCAGCGGGGGGGGGGGGGGGGGGGGGGGGGGGGGGGGCACACGCCCTCTGCCGCCTGCAGGCTCCCTCGCAGCTTCCACGGCCCCCCTTCCACCCCAGCAGCCAACTGCAGCTTCCCAAGAACAACGGGGGAGGGGAGGCTCCCGGCTGGCGGCCTTGAAGTGTCGCTCGGCCCCACATTCTCAGGAAGTTGCGCCCAAGCGGGGAAGCCGTTAGAAAGGAGGAGGATGGGGGACATTGAGGTGAAGCCCCCTGAAGACCGATGGGGAGGAAATGGTGTGTGTGTGTGTGTGTGTGTGTGTGTGTGGCCTCCGCCCTCTTCTCTCCCCAGGCGGCCTGGTGCCAGGAGGGTCCCAAGTGCCTCCCCTGGACCCCCGCCCCGGGGTCCCCCAAAGCAGAGCAGAGCACCCCAGAGTGAATGTAGGGCCGAAGTGGGGCAAGGGGGGGGGAGAGCTGGGCTCCCTTTGGCTTCCCTCCCTCCAGGCCTCGTGTGAGGAAGAGGCACCCCAGGGACCAGGCGCTGCTCAGAGAGAGGGGCCCCTTTGGGGAGGGGTCTTCCAATTCCTCCTCTTCCTCTTCCAGGTTGGGGAGCTGCTCAGCTCGGCAGACCCCTCTGCCAAGGCCAGCTTGACCGTGGTCAGCCCAGACTTTGGGGAATGGAAGGACCCCCGTCTTCTCAGCCAGCACAACCTCCTGGACTTCATCGACCTGCGCTTCAACCCCGGCTGCGTGCTGCCCCCGATGGAGGGCCTGCAGGAGTTCATGGAGTACCTCGCGGAGTCCCTGGAGCCCCCGTCCCCCTTCGACCTCCTGGAGCCCCCCAGCACCGTCGGCTTCCTGAAGCTCTCCAAGCCCTGCTGCTATATCTTCCCCGGCGGGCGAGGCGACTCGGCCTTCTTCGCAGTCAACGGCTTCAACCTCCTGGTGAACGGGGGCTCCAACCCCCGGTCCTCCTTCTGGAAACTGGTGCGCCACCTGGACCGCATCGACTCCATCTTGGTGACCCACGTGGGCACGGACAGCCTGCCCGGAGTGAACAGCCTGCTGCAGCGGAAGCTGGCTGAAATGGAGGAGGACCCTTCCTCCTCCCAGGGCCCCCAGGGGGACGACTGGGGCAAGAACCTCATCTCACCAGAGCTGGGCGTGGTCTTCCTCAACGCCTCCGAGAAGCTGAGGGACATCGAGGGGGATTCTGGCGTCCTGAAGAGCTGCGACGAGGCCCGCCTGACCCTGCGGTACCTGCACCGGCTGGGCATTCGGCCCCAGCCGCTTTCCCGGGCGGGCGCCGCTCCCAGGACGGAGCCCACCATCCTCTTCCAGAAGATGGGCGTGGGGCGCCTGGAGATGTACGTGCTGCACCCGGTGAGGGGCAGCCGGGAGCTGGAGTTCCTCATGCAGCAGTGGTGCGGGAACGGCCACCCCAAAGGGCTGGAGCTGCCCCTGCAGTGCGTCACCTCCGTCTGCGCCCTCCTCGTCTGGCACCCGGTGAGCCCCAGCGACAAAATCGTCCGGGTCCTGTTCCCAGGCTGCACTCCCCAGGCCAGGATCTTGGAAGGGCTGGAGAAGGTCCAGCACTTGGAGTTCCTCAGGCACCCCGTGGTCACTCAGAAGGACCTGGACGCTTGCTCCTCTGGGCCCCCGGCCAAGCACAAGAGGGCCGAGAGCCAGGAGAGCCTCAAGTCCGGCTCTTGGCTCAGCCTGACGGAGTCCAAGGAGAGGAAGGAGCTGAAGCCGGCCGGTGCCAGGGACCGGCCCAGGGCGCCCAGCGAGGCCTCCAAGGGCAGCGTAGAGGAGGAGGAGAGGGCCAGGGGGCCCCAGCTGAAGACGGAGCCCCCGGCGGAGAAGAGCAGGCAGGACGCGAGGCCCAAGCAGCTGAAGGAGAAGCCTTCAGTGGCCAAGAAAGAGGGGAAGAAGCCGCTGCCGAAGGAAGAGGCTCCTCAGGAGAAGGAGGCGGCCAGGAAAGAGGGGAGGCTGACCAGGAGGGAGCCGGCCAAGAAGGAGGGGAAGCCAGAGAAGGCAGCCAAGCCGCCCCCAAGAGAG